TGGACCCGATTCTTCGTTACGCGGAAACGAATAACTACCTTTCCTGCCCTGGACCGTTATTGCGTGTAATGCTCGAATCCTTCGCATTACCGGATAGTCATGGGTCGCCTTCTGAGACCACCACGCCCATATATCTCCAAGAGCAGGTGGGAGTACTCCTGCAACGAGCGCTCGACTTCGATCCCATCGCCTGGTCTTTTGAGTTTGAGCGTGCATCGCCGTTCGATGACATACAGAAACGAATTCGGATAGCGTCGGCACATCGATCGGCAGTCTGCATTTATCTCGCTCGCGTACTACCTTCCACAAACCCTCTTCTCGATCCCGCGAGTGGCACAGCCCTCGTCAGCCTCACCGCTCTCGCCGACGACGTCGTCAACCACATTTCGCATCTCGAGCCTGGAGATGCACTCTTCAAATCTATCTGTTGGCCATTGTTCCTTGCTGGTGCCGAGTCGGAGGACCCTAGTCAGCGCGAGTGGATCATGAACACACTAGATGAACTCTATGGGCAGATGTTCTGGGGCTATCTTCACACGTCCAAGCGCGTGTTGGAGGCTATTTGGCGTTTCAAGGACTCAGCTGGACCTGGTGCCGGCAACTGTTGGGTGGAAGAGGTTAAAGATCTGGGCAATGACATTTTGATCGCTTGAGTATGTGCAGCGGCCAAAGACAGAGTATCAAGGGCGAAACAACAAATGCGAACGTGCGACCGGGAACCTATATGCCCGCGACGGATTACTAGCATGCAGGCGGAACGTTACCTGGGTGGTAGTGCAAACCCAGATCGTTGGGTGTACCTGCTGTGACACTCACATCCCACGCATCGGTCGGATCCCCATTGCGAAGAAGCAATCTACTGCTGGGGTTCCACAGACCATTTCTAGTCAAGATCGATGGGTGCGATGGCAGGCATCAGCTAGTCTAGTCTGGTCGATCCCCAGGTGGTCGGTAGCGGGGTATTCGTCACGGGTACCTCAAGCTGCCTGCACCGTGTTATACAAGCAGTTGGCTTCTCGAAACATGCAAGGCACATTACCCAGGTTGTCTTACCACCTTTATTGAGTTTTGGGTCGCATATTCGCGTTACTTCAAAGCCCTATTTTATGCTTCGAGCTGCTTTGACGCCAAGATCTTCAAAGTACTGCTCCCGTGCGAAACTCCATCATGCGCATATGGCGTGCCATCGGAATCCAACTCGGATGGGTCGCATATACGCTGTGCACGGTACATTCGACGCGTTTACTTTTCTCCAATCAATTATCAGCACCTCTGGATGTGCAAACAACAGAACGCGTACACCAGCTTGATGGAAAGCAGGTACCGTTGCTCGCGCAGAGGTAAGACCACATGGATCTTCTTTCACGAGAATAGGCGCAGCGTCCGCCTTTCGCGGCTTACCCTGTGTATGCTCGCTCTTGCAAGTACATTAGCGCATGCGGGTGTTGCCGTTCTCGGACTTCGACGGAGGGTACTTGCAAGCCCCGCCCATATTGGCTTACTATTCAAACGTTGTTCATAGCCTGAACATCGTCTGGAATATTGTTTTGTATCATCGCTTTCGCGTAGCCTCAAGGTGTACGGCTTCTAAAGTCCGCATTCGCCATGCTTTCCACATCCTTACTCCATCTGCTCCTTCCCAGCCTTATGTTCATTACTAAAGCATCTGCGCAAAGCGACAGCAACGACGTATTCGATCCCAAGGGGCGCACAAAACTCGCGCTTGAAGCTCTACAATTGTGGTATAACACAACTACCGGCCTATGGGAGTCGACTGGGTGGTGGAATGGTGCGAATATCATGACAATGATTGGCGACTACGCGAAATCAGATACTGAAGATGAAGAATTGCAGGACCTGGCAAGCAATGTCTTTGCGACTGCGTTGCTAAAGGCGCCGATCAAAAATCCAGACGCGAGTATTGATGAGCTATGTGCTTATAGCACAACACCAACTGTCGGCAACACGACTTGCCATCAGACTGGTTACACGAAGATACTCGATCCGGATACCAACGAGCCTCACACATTCTATCCGCTTGGCTGGTACGATAATGGGGGGTCCTATCCCACCAGGCCAGATTCTCATGACTGGCTGGACGGCTACTACGACGATGATCTCTGGTGGGCGTTAGCCTGGATCAATGCATACGACGTCACCGCCGATGCCGCTTATCTCACCCTCGCGGAAGGCATATTCCTCGCTGTATCGCGCACCTGGGGTACTTACTGCTCTTATGGCGGTATATACTGGAATTGGGAAAGGGACTACGTAAACGCGATCGCTAATGAGCTCTTCTTCAGTACAGCTGCGCATCTGGCCAACCGCGTCCACGACGATAAAAAGAAGACTCTGTACTTGTATTGGGCGGAGAAAAGTCTGAATTGGTTCGTTGGAAGTGGTATGATCAACGAAGGTGGTACCATCAACGATGGATTGACGGAGGATTGTGCCAATAACAACAAGACTGTTTGGTCATACAACCAGGGTGTAATCTTGGGAGGTTTTGTCGAACTTTACCAAGCTTCAAGCTCACCCCACTCCGCATACCTCGTTCTCGCATCGGGAATCGCGAATGCGGCACTTGTCGCGCTTTCGGACGAAAATAGCGTTCTACACGACGAATGCGAGCCGAACTGTGGTGCCGATGGCGCCCAGTTCAAGGGCATTTTCATGCGTAATCTGGTCAAACTTCATACTGTGGCACCGGAAAAGGTGTTCGCAAACGCTATCCACGTAAATGCGGCGTCTATTTGGGAACGGGATAGAGCGGTGACGGTTGACGGTTTACCTGTATTCAGCGTGAACTGGGGAGGGCCATGGGTCACTCCGGCGAATGCAAGCACGCATAGCTCGGCGATGGATGCACTTGTCGCTGATATAGTCGTCGACTGAAGATCCAGGGTGAAGAACGTAGTGGAAGAAAGCGACTTATATAATTCATCTTCATTGCTAGCGCGATACTATGTTTTTGCGCGGACTGACCCATCGCTTTCAGCGCATGGCCATACATCTAAGTCCAGCTCCACTACTGCGAAACGTCCTCGATCTTGATGGCGCCCGTACCGTTCAAGAAATCCATCTTTCCAACATCAACGCCCTTCATCCTCAGTATGTCATACGCAGTCACGATGTGGAACCTACAAACATCAGCAAAACCTCATCACGAGCCTGAACCCTCAAGCGAATCTTCACTTACCACATGTTCGGATGCGCAAACTTTGTGACATAATCCAGTGCCGGCAGCCTCATCTGCTTGACACCGCCAAACTTGACGACAACCTCGTCATCATGCTTACCCTCGAAGTCCTTCTCCGAGAAGCCCTCAAGATACTTGATAGTCTTCTCGACGCGAGCCAGTAACTCGGAGAAGGTCTGCTCCTCGTCGGGCAGAGTCATGCCTTCCAAGGCAGGGTTCACGCGAGAAGGAATGAACTTGGCGGCGTCAGTGAAACGGTAGACTTGGTAGCGGAAGTCCTTCATGTCTGGGTGGATAGATGCAGTGAGGAAGTCATTGGGGTCGGTGGCTTTGGCGTGCTCGTAGCCTTTGTTGATGAAGAAGTGTGCGTTCTTGAGGCCGGTGATGACGGGAGCGATGGCGACCTTGTGGAATGAGAGAGCCATTTTGGGTGGTAGTTTGTAAATAGAAGGAAGTGTTGAAAGGGGGAATAATTGCAGTTTCAATTTCTTGTTTTGTTGATGAAGTTGATTGATGCTAGTAGATGCCCTGGCGGGGTAGTCGACTATTTATGTTCCACTTCTGTCTATCTCGCACCTTCTCTCCGTACACTGAACATCAAGCTCACTACGCTCCACTTGGCATCAGCACTCCACCGTTCATCCCAAAGCGGACCCGATTTGTACTCGCATGGTTACACGACTGGCGGTGATTACGGCCTGGATTACAAAGCGGGTGGGTTGCAATCTGGTGGGCCCCGGTGATTGACCAATCAGGTCGTGACGCGATTGACCGGACCCACTTTCGCGCCGTCGGCCGCGAGGCATCAACACGCGAGATGCGCGACTGCGGTGAGACTACACGCGACGCAGGGCCACTATGTTCGATATGCGCCCTTTCCTTGGGCTATTGCCTTGGTTCAGATATATGAGTGTGCTGACAAAAGTCGCAGAGTTCCGCGCGGTTTAGCCCTTGGGATGCCTGACATCGATCGTATCAGACCTCTCTGCGTGAGGAAAGTGCGCCTTGCTTTCCTTGTGCGACAACCCTACGGACGAACGCTCGTGCGCTTTCTTCGTGAAGCTCCAAAGTCTTGTCTCTCGGTGCAGCATGTTCTAAACATTCAGATCAGCCTAAGCAGTCGTCACTACCAATATAGAATGGGGATCACGCGTGCCGGCAACCAGGCTGCGATGAGATAGGGCGCATATAACAATCAGGTCGATATTCCTCGCAGTACACGTGAAGAAATGACTGACCGTACTCTGATCAGGTCAACTACTAAGCCAGCATTGGACTAAGCCTGACGAGCGTCACAGGTAAAGTCAGCGATCTTGTTCCAGCGAGTCAGCCGGTAGGACGAAGTTTTCTGATCTTAGAGCAATATACAGATACCAGTTGGTTGTCATTAATCCTACATCTTACAACCACCAAGTCAACTTGCGCTCCGCGTAATGATGGGCGCTTGCTCAAAGTGCAATCTGTTTTAAGCGAGCAGGGCCCATGACCCATGAGTATCGGTCAATGTTTTGCATGATCAGACAACACGGATGATGGATAGTCGAACGTTTTACAATTGACATCCGCAAATTGCTTGTTCAAAGGCAAGTCGATCCTTTGTTTCTAATCTACTAAACATGCCACACAATTGTATCCTGCTTGCTTAGCAGTTTGGGTCGATCGGCACCGACATATAATGATCCTGTGCCGGTACTGAAAGTAAGCCACCACACCCAGAGCTTCACTTTACCGGCATTGGTTCATCTTCACATCAAGCTCGTTTCTTGGTACTCGTTGCAGACAACGCCCCAGTCCGATCGATATGCCACCCAAGAAAAGCGGCAGCAAAGCCCCAGCAGGCAAACAGCTTAACGACGTGACGAAGTCTGAGTTGCTTGACGAAATTAGAGCACCCAAGTTCACCGGAAACAAGTGCATGAGATGCGATGAGTTCAGCCATGGTCATATCAACGAATGCAACGCCAAAGCCAATTCCAAGCTCTGGTCGAAGGGTCTTGGTAATTTCGCGGACAAGCAGGGTGTCGAGAAGTTGTTTCAGACCGAACGTGCCAAGCTCATTGCGGACGGAACATACACTCCTGTCAAGCAAGTAAGCAAGCCTGTCGCACAGAATCAACCCAAACCAGACAATAAGATGAAAAGCGAACCTCAGAAGGTTGAGTCTGCTATTCCAGAAGACCCCGCATCCAGCAGCGCACTGAACGAAAAGCCCGCGACGCCCGTCAAGAAGAGAACGCCTATCGAGACTGAGAATGTTGGCAAGCTTATTTACACAAAAGACGAGACAAAAGCCCAGAATGTCCAGGCTAATATACCCAAAGATGGCCTAGCGAACGCCGCAACACAGCACGAAGGTCCAGAACCGGCGGAAGGCGAGTTCAAAGTGATCACCAATTATGTGCGAGTGCGCAAGGTACCTTCTCAACTCTTTACATATGCCTTGACATTCTATAGACCAAGTCGCGACCCAAAGAAGCCCAACGCCCGCGTAGAGCTCAACAAGCGACAAGAGATCGGACGTGTATTCGATGCGATGATCGAGGAAGATGTGTTGGAACTGGACAAGAACCGGAAGATATGGGCAACCAACTATAAGAGTCTTTGGTGCGACACTGCTCTCGAGGGTCCTCACGGAGATCAGGAGGAGTGGGACACGGCAAATTTTGACTGCAAACTCCTTGATGGTCGAACATATGACGACGTATACGCAACTGTGAGGAAAGGTGTAGTCTTGAGCGATATCGACGACGTCCTTCGTAAGGAACACATCACCAAAAGCGCCGACTACATTCGGGCTCTGAATGCTCATGTTGCGAAATGTGTCCGCAAGCACAACGAAGCGGAGGACCGACCGATTACCTAGCTTGGTGCGAACAAGTTCTACCTTGATCGAGGTTTCACAGAAATGGTCGATAAGAACTCCAACAGCCTGGGCTTGCGCGCAGTCCGCGGTTACTACATGTCGATAAGGCCCGGAGCGCTAGGTCCCGTGCTCAATATCAATGCAGCGACAACGGCCTTTTTACCTCCAATACTGGTCTCGGACTTGTTGACTACGTCGCTCAGTCAAAATACTGTCGAGAGAATGTTGAGGGGCAAGCGCGTCAGGCTGATATACCGACGACAAGAGTTCCAAGAGACCAAGGATGCTGGATTCTCGATGAACGACGAACTCCCGCGCACGAAAGTCTTTCAACAATTTGGTTTGCCTGCGAGCGAGCAGAAGTTCTTCATAGTCCTTGCTAACGACAAAGGCGCCAAGGTTGACGTCAGCCCAACGGATAATGGTACCACCGTCATCCAATACTTCAACAGTGAGAGAATCTCAGACTCCCCATGTTATATCACGCTAACAGCTGTAGAAATGAAAGCAAGAATACCAGGTAGCCTGTCACCTGCTCAACTTCTATGTGTCAATGTCGGCAAGCGCGTTCAATCATCTAGATCGAAAGATGCAGGCAAACTAGCATTTATGCGTCAGCAGACCTTGGACGGCGCTCAGTGGATCCCTGCTTGTTTACTCGAGATCCTGCCTTTTCAGCCAATGACAGGGCAGATGAACCCGAAGCATACTGCCGAGATGATGAGGCATGCTTTGCACTTACCCGCGGAGAACGCAGCTCTGATTGATGAAGAGGGCCTGCGGATCCTTGGTCTCAAAGATCAGATCGAGGATCAAAAAGACACGACTAGCAGGAAGTATCTCGTAAGTTCCAATGGCGCAAGAGCTTTTGATCGCTGACTTACAGTTCGCCAGGATCAAGGCTTTCAGCTCGACAACAAACTGATATCATTGGCCGCCAGATCTTTGAAACTTCCCCGTCTGTCGTACGAGAAGCGCGGTGACCCCGACGTCGAACACACCGTCAGTACACAGCCTCATACAAAATTCCAGCCAATTATCCACGTCGACCGATCAGCTTGGAATCTTCAAGGCGCAGCATTCATTAAGCCTGGAACGCTGAAAACCCTTCACGTCGTCGGGCTGCCGGGATGTCGTCAAGAACTCAAATTGGCTATTGTCAAAAAGGATTTCACTGAGCAATTGTGTGCTCACCATGTTCACACCACGCCTGGAGACCATGATAATCAGTTGGGGAAATCTGGAAATGTCGAAGAATACCTCAAATGGTGGTTCACGGCGTGCCAGCGGAACGACTGCAACCTTGTCTTATTGGCCGAGAAAGACTTCGACATATACGCAAAGATCAAACGGACTGGCGATTTTCAAGGGTACCACACCATCTGCGCTATCGGCAGCAAAATCCAAGATGACAGGAACAATGATCATAACAAGACCGGCAATCGTTGGCAGCATTTCTCAAACTTAGCCCTCAAAGTCAATTTGAAGTTAGGTGGGGACAATCACTGGCTTGACAACGAGATGTTGGATAAGCTACTAGGTGGAGAGGAATCCAGACGAAGCACCATGATCTTGGGATCAGATGTCACCCATCCCGGCAACGGCTCGAAGATTGGTACACCCAGCATCGCCGCCGTGGTGGGTACTGTTGACGCTCAGTTCATGAGCTATCGCGGTTCGATGAGACTTCAAGCTGGTGGCCAAGAACAGATCGATGAGGTGAATCTCCGCAGTATGGTCAAAGAACGGCTCGAGACTTGGAGGTTGTGTAACGATGACAAGCTTCCGACCAGAATTTTGTTTCATCGCGACGGCGTCTCTGAGTCGCAGTTTGTCAACGTGGAGAAGTCTGAGATCCCGCAGATCAGAGAGGCGTATGTTGATGCTGGAGGCAATGCTAAAGACCTCAGTATATGCTTCTTCGTTGTCAGCAAACGTCACCATACACGATTCTACGCTGCCACCAAGAACGAAACATACCAATCTCGAGAGAAGACCCAGACCGGATCCAGATTTTATCAAAACGGCAACATCAAAGCTGGCTTACTTGTAGACAGTGTGGTCACGGCGCCTAAGCCCCTGAACTTCTTCTTGCAGTCTCACACTGCGATCAAAGGCACCGCGCGTTCAGCCCACTACTACGTACTCCAGAACGACACGGACATTGGGACCGCGAACCTGCAGGAGTTGACGATGATGCTATGCTACACCTTTGGTCGATCGACGACCGGTGTCTCGTACGCAACCCCGGCATACGCCGCGGATAGGTTATGCGACCGCGGCAGATCTTACATTCGTCACTGGGCAGAGGATGAATTTGCCGATCCTATCTTTGAGTACGACACGTACCATGACGGAAACGGAAAAGAGCGCAAGCCCACCGACGTCGAGATCTTATCCGAGAAACGAGTGATGGTTGATAAGCTCTTGCACTCTCCCGAAGTCTGGGGCAAGAATTACCACGACGACCCAAATGACAACGGTAAGCCGCTCAGGCTGAACCCATGGCACCCAAACCTCGACCAAGGTATGTTCTGGATGTAAGAGGAGATTCGGATCGTGCGGTGAGAGGCTATGGGACTATGGATTCCCAATACGTATGGTGTCTTCCTTTTCTTGGCTTGATCTCCTTTGTAGCTGTATGCGTTGGTGTTTCTGGGTTCTCTGTTGCTCTGGTGGTTCTTTCCCTATGTTTTCGTGCGTTGCGTCTTGTATTTTCGTCCTTCGGTATTCCTTGTCATCTTCCCGTTGTCGTGTGCTCTTTTTGCTTTACTTAGACTTCGATTCGTACTCTCATTCAATAGATTTGTCACTCCGCTCAAGTATCTCCAAATTTGCGTACTATGCAGATGCTGGTGCCTCGGGTTTCTTGTATCGCGTCGCGACGCGACCGGATCGTTGCGATGATGGAAAGTAGGAGCGCTCGCGCGTTGGCTCATCCCACGTTCGCACGAACGGGAAGTTGACGCGTCGACCCGAGATCGGCAAGCCATAGCTCCCACGCTACATCGTCGCCGTCATCATCAACCTTATAGCCGAATTAGACATAGGTTTGCCGAAGCAATGAACAAGATGGCTGATCCCTGGTCTCCTTCAATATCCGACGAATTTGTCGTCCTCCCCAAAGGCTCATATACACTCGCATCGTATCACGACCCGTCGCATCGTCTTGCCTTACCCCACCGATCACAATGTCGGACACGAAGACTCCCCACGATCTGAACTGCCTTACTATCGGCGAACTCGAGAAGCTTGCCGCAGAGCGCATGGACAAGCAGACACGCGACTACTACAATGAGGGTGCAGATTCTGGATCGACGCTGCGCGAGAACATTGACGCATACCAGAAGTATCGCATTCGGCCACGCGTGCTTCGCGACATCTCCGCTATCGACACGACCGTAAACGTTTTCGGACACAAGAACAGCATACCCCTCGGCGTCGCACCAACCGCTATGCAATGTCTCGCACACGACGACGGTGAACTGGCGACCGCACGCGCATGCGCCAACAAGGATATCGTGATGGGCCTGAGCAGCTTCAGCACAACCAGCCTTGAAGACGTGAAAGGCGCATTGGGCAACCATCCCGGAGCCCTACAACTCTACCTCTTCGAAGAGCGCACCCAAAGCCAGAAGCTCATCCAACGCGCCAAGAAAGCCGGCTACAAAGCTGTTATGCTCACGGTCGATACCCCAGTCCTCGGACGCCGGAACTTAGAGATAAGGAACCAGTTCAAGCTGCCGAAACACCTCAAAGTAGCAAACTTCAACCGCGACGAGAAACACGACGAGGGTGTGAAGGTCGAAGAGAAGATCACCTCACCAGACACGGAAGCGAACGAGTCGCGCAAGAGGAGCGAGACACCCAGTGCCACTGACGCCAACAAGAGACAGCCGCCAAAAGGTCCAATCTCCTTCCATACGCACGCACCCAACCCGACATTATGCTGGGAACGCGACATCGCCTGGCTCAAAGAACAATGTCACCCCGAGATGGAAGTTTGGGTGAAAGGCGTAGCTACAGGAGAAGACGCACTATTAGCCTGCCACCACGGCGTCGATGGTATCGTTGTATCGAACCACGGTGGAAGACAGCTCAACGGCGCGTTGGCTACCATCGATGCGTTGCCTGAAGTCGTTGCTGCTGTGCATTCACAAGCCGGGAAGAAAATTCCTGTACACGTTGACGGAGGAATCAGACACGGAACGGACGTATTCAAAGCACTCGCGCTGGGTGCGGACTTCGTCTGGGTTGGCAGGCCGATACTTTGGGGATTGGCATACAAAGGGCAAGAAGGCGTTGAATTGGCGCTGAGGTTGCTGAGCGATGAGTTCAAGTTGTGTATGGGACTTGCCGGTGTGACAAAGGTTGAGGACATTGGACCAGAGTACTTGGTCAAGATGGATCGAAGTGGATTTGTGAGTCGTCTTTAGAGACTGTGAGCATACATTGCTGGGTAGCTCTGGATCTACGCACTATTGATACGACTTTTGCATATACAAACGTGCTCAGACATGTTACAGTACCTACGCCGCCTGTCTCCTACTCTCGATAAAGTCGACGTAATCAAAGAAACTCTTCTTGTACCTTCGCACTTGTGTCGTGCGATTGACAGTCTGAATACCAAACTGCTGGTCGTAGTCACCAAACTCCCAGTTGTCGGCCCACGACCAAGCAAACGCGCCGATGAAATTGACACCGTCTTCCCAAATCGCCTTCAGGCCTTCGTTCAGATACGTCTGGTAGTACCAGCTCCTTGGGCTGTCGAACTCCTGGTCTGCTTGCTCTTTTTGCGCCTCGGCGAAAACAGGGAAGCCGAATTCAGTGACGGCCACCGGAGAACGCCATGTGTTCCAGAGATAATTCAGGTAGGTGCGGAAATAGCTGGGTGTCAGATAGACATATGATTGACTGCGGTATCCGATGTCCCAGCCAGTGGTGGTGAGAGTGCTCTGAGTTACGCAGTAAGGTCGGAGGGGATGAGTGATGTTGGCAGCGCAGTCAGCGATGGTGTCATTCGGCGGCGGGCTGACTACTGTCGCAGTGTACGGTTGGATCGAGAAGAAGTCTGCAGTGCCGTTGATGTATTGTAGATCTTCTCGGCTCAATGGTACGTAGTCATCAACACTACTCTTGAATGATTCCGGGTAGTCTGTTCCTAAGAAGATAGGGTTGGCAAAGGTAGCTAGCTGGAAGGAGTTGAAGTGATTGGCAGCGTCAACGTCAGCGGGGTCACCTGGATTGCGTGGGACGCCAAAGTTGTCGTTGAATGTGAGCGACATCTTTCCAGTTCCACCAATGTCATCGTGGTAGAAGTGGTAGAGTCTCGCATGAGCTTTGATGACAGCATCGATAGATTTTCCGTTCCGCGCACCCAGGAGAGGCTCGTTGAAGGTCCACCAGATTGGCACACGGTCAGCAAAATGTGTCATGACAATCTTTCCGTATTCGACGAAAGCATCCTCCCACGACACATTCTTGTAGCTACATTGGAAACAAGAGTCCAGGTAGCCAATGCCTCCAGTTCCGGGCTTGATAAAGACATCGCTGATGTTGTTGTAATATTGGAAAGGAGAGTCGTTGTGGTAAAGCATGACAGCGGGATGCATGCCTTTTTCCAAGACGAAGTTGATAAGATCGTCGTAGTGCGAGAGACCTTGCTTGTTGACTGGTGTGCCTGGTAAGATGAACGGCAGAATTCGAGTCCAAGGAATGGAGAATCTGTAATACTTGATGCCCATGGCAGCAATTCGTTCGATGTCTTGCTTGTACAAGTAGTAGTGTTCGTTCGCGATCCAGTTCGGCGCTTGGCCCGGGTTGTTCAAGGCAGCAACGTCGTTGTGAACGGGTGTCCGTCCCTCATCTGCGACGGCTCCCTCGATTTGGACAGCTGATGCCGCCACGCCAAGCATGAAGTCTGCAGGGAAGGAGTAGCATTGCTGGGGTACCAGTGGCTCAGGTGGTGGCAGAATGAGCTCGCTGGTCGGTACTGGCGTCGGTTCAACTGTTGTAGAGTACATCCCGGTCGTGAAGTTGACCCATGGCACGGTCGTCCAGAGAGCTGTCCAGGATGCGTTTCCGTATGGGTTCCCCAAGTCGGTCGGTGATGCGGTGGCATTTGAGTTCCAGTTGCCCCATTGTGTTGTCGTCAGATTTGGCACCAAGCTACTGAGCGACGCGTACGGTGGTGCATAGGTAGTAGTGGTAGTGGGAGCTGGGGCAGATGTTGCTGTACGAACAGTCTCGGTCTGTGTGAAGCTGAACTCTCTGAAGGTATACGAGGGCAGTGCAGTCGCATATGTTTGATTTGCCGAGCATTGCGGTCGCGAGACAGGCCCTTCAGCAGGAACGTAGACTTGCTGGGCGAGAGCCACAGCGCCATACGCAAGAAGTGCTTGAGGCTTCATGATGATGGCCAAGGAACGCTTGATACATCTTGGTATCCTCTGCAGAGCTCTTTATACCTCTGTGGCTTTTCAATCGGACCGTGGGGCTGATTCTGACGGTGGTACTCATCGTCATCGGCATGTACAATCGCTTGTCGCTTCGCAAAATCTCGCAGCCCTAGTCCCGTCGTGATTTAATACGAAGGGCGTGGTGCGGCCTTGATCCCTTTCCGGGGTTTGGCGGATTGAATTCCTCGGTCGAGTTCGGTCGGGCCCAATTTCGGTAGTGCCTGGGTGCTTTGCGGGGGCTTGCGGGGTCGAGCTTGTTGTGATGACGAGCGGGATGCAACGTCTAAGCTCCAACGTTGCTTTTCATGTCATGAATTGATCAGGCTTATGGTCCTAGCAAGTCTCGGGGTTTCTGAGTGGTCGTTCACGTTGTTGCTTCGCCGGCCTTACGCGAACAAGATTAGCATGTTCTCCGCAGAGCATACTTCCAGGGTTTAGATGTTCCCTGTTTGTGCCGGCAGGTCAACGCGTGTTCAACCCTCGGTCTATCATTGCGCGACACCGCCAACTGACAACCGAAACTTCGCGGATAGATGATCGGATGAATCGAGTGCCCATAGCAATGTTTTCTCAGTCTCCGCCAACAGACTTGCTGCCAAGACAAGGGACGAAACGTCTGAGTCAGGTGCATCAGACTAGCTATCACATTCGCTCATGCAGCATCCTGCTCCTGCGATATGTCTTTACCAAACAGCTTGACTTTGAGCTGCTCAATCCGCGTAACATCTCGGTATCAAGACGGGCTCATGTCAAGGATGTGTCGTGCTTTCGACTTCATTTGACCACCCACCTTCAGAACCGAGTTCTTGAGAGATCAAAGAAGAGGGGCTAAAGTTGTGGACTACAGGTGAACTTGGAGACCTGAGGTAGGTTTCTGTTTAATGCATGCATCTGTTCCAACTTTGACCTGTGACGGACTTTTTTCGATTGTCTGGTCGCCTCGATCCTGACAAGAAAGTGCAGCTCGCGCTGTCAGGATGTCGCGCTGGCCCATTGACTGAGGAGATTCTCGATGAATGGTAGATTTCCATATTTCTTGTTTCGAACGGGCATATGTTGGCACCAGTCAAAGCACAGTCTGAGTGTTTGCAGCTCCTTTCGCTTCAAAGCATGGCGGATTTCGTGGTTTTTGAACAGGTCATGCTCGCAGCCACGACAAGTCCACGAACGGAAGGGAACACGTAGAGATCATGATTCGTAAAGACACTGAAATATGACAGCGCAAGCCTATATTTGGAGGTATGGGCATCCCCAAATGTAGTGTGAGCAGTCTTGGTGTTGGTGTTGGTGTTGGTCTCGAGAAGCAAAAGATGACGCTAGCGGGGTCCGTGCGCCCACACGAATTTCGTCGTTGCCAACCCACTTGCCGAACTTCACGACGCTCACGACAACTCCAGCGACGACGCACCCGAAACCCGCCCAAATCGAATATCCCCCCGATAATCTACCAAAATGTCTGGAAAGCGCGGGTACGTAGTCCTCAGCGACAAATTGGGCAGTTTGAGGCTGTCATGCAGAGGAATGCCGGCTAACGTGTGTGCAGTCGAGGTTCTACCTCCGGTAACAAGCTCAAGATGACTCTTGGTCTGCCAGTGTACGTTTGACCCCGATGCGATCGCTCCGCCGAAAACCTTTCCGTTCGCGAACACGCATACAAGGCACACAGGGAATACAGGCTAATAGATGCACAGCGGCGCCGTCATGAACTGCTGCGACAACTCCGGTGCCCGCAACCTGTACATCATCTCCGTCAAGGGTATCGGTGCGCGTCTTAACCGCCTGCCCGCTGGTGGTGCCGGTGACATGGTCATGGCGACCGTCAAGAAGGGAAAGCCCGAGCTGAGGAAGAAGGTCATGCCCGCCGTCATTGTCCGCCAGAGCAAGCCATGGAGGCGAGCAGACGGTATCTACCTGTACTTCGAGGACAACGCCGGTGTCATTGTCAACCCCAAGGGTGAAATGAAGGGCTCCGCCATCACTGGACCCGTCGCAAAGGAGGCCGCTGAGCTGTGGCCGGTACGTGTGCACCCGCCCCCAAAAGAATCAACACTAACAGCATCCAGCGTATCGCCTCCAACTCCGGTGTCGTCATGTGAGGTGTCTCTTTTCCTGCTTTCGATCACATTCATGGGTTTACGGGCACGGCGAAAATGCATTTACGGGGTGAAGGATTTGGGAGACGACATTGCAACCACGATTAGCAATGGGACGACCTTCACAATACCAGTCAAATGAACATTACGACCAAAACCACACTTTTGTTCCTCATTGCAGTGACGGATGAGTGACATGGCGGCAGTGCGCCAACAGGATCAACAGCACAAGGAGCGCGTCAAGGAAATGTTTTGCGGTGGTCGGACTCTGTTGATTGATTTGACATGAAGACAGGAATTATGTACTAAACCCACGCACACTAGACCCTAGGCTCATCGGCTGAGCACGAACTCCTATCGCACGCCAGCATCTGGAAGTCTGCCTCCTCGACCACGTCCTGCGCCCATCGCATCTGTATCATACTTCTCGCCTCGACCTCACGCTTCCTCTGCCCGCCCACGAACTTCAAGTTCTCGTTTCCAACAACACCCGTCGTGACAACACCAGTGCTCGGCGCACCGATTCCTTGCACCTGGCCGTTACCGCCCTGCATGACGTTTGCGTAGCTCGACGACATGGTCTGTACTCCAGAAACGAAGTCCTGGCCGTCAAACTCGCAATGCCCTCCCGCAGGTGTGTTGTCCACTGTCTGCAATGTGTTGACCTGATCCGCGCTCAAACCTGCATCTGCACCGAGCTGCTCGTAGGCTGTAACAGCCTGTGGAATGCTACCCTGGAGTAATTGGAGCTCACTCTGTGTAGATTGGAAGTGGATCCTTGTCTGAGACATAACTGTGGCAGCGTTCTGGAAAGCGACTTGCGGCGGCATGCCACCGCAGTTAAGCTCGACAGCCGAATTGGCGTAGTTTTGCATCTGTGCTGGGATGAAGAAGCCGGACATCATTAGCGAGCCGCCCGAGACACCTGTGAAGACGATGTTGGACATGTTAACTGCAACCCGTTGCGGCAGTTCGGTTTGGATGAAGTCGTTGACGGCCTGGGCGTGTGCTACACCATCTGTACGTTGAAGACCCGAGCCTCCTCCCCAGAACAGGTTTTTATCGGGTGCCAGTAGCGCAACACCCATGGTGTTGGCCTGAACAGCTTGGTTCGGCATGTCGAAGAAGCTCTGTCCACCGTCGCCGTGGAGCAACACGTTCGCGCCCAGGGTGCCGTTCGCCGATGTAGCTGCCGCACCGGGGACGCCCGAAGCTGGAAGGAATTGATCTGCCGGTGCGGAAATCTTGAATCGAATAGGCAGGTTGTTGACCATGACCGTGTCATCTAGGATCATAGAGCCATCTGTGGCTGTAGAGATCCCCTGGGGCACCTGAGCCGCTTTTTGGAAGGCCGTCGCTTGTTGTCCATTGCCGTTACCACCGCGGTTGCGTTGTGGTAGCGCCGAAGTGAGGGAAAGCAGCGAGAGAGTGATGAGTCCGTACATGATGGCAAAAACGATAAGCTCAATAGATGGAAATAGAAATTAGGTTATTGAAATGATGGACCGGCCAGGAAGAAGAATCGAAAGAAGGGTAGCAGACGAGAGATACCGCACGGCAGTATAGCGGGAAGAGAAGAAAGGAAAGAAGTGTGGGGGATTCCCATACATCTATACTGCATGAATGGCATGCTACAAATCACGAAAAGGCCTCGAGCCTGCGAAACACAGTTTCTTTCACTCCTAAACGCGTACGAGTATAGCCAAGCCTACAGGTCAGAGCTTCGCCTTGCCTCTCTTGAGCTTAACATGACTGAGTTCCACCACTGAGCGGTGTGGTCTGGACGAGGCTTATGGAAGCTGTGTTTGATGCGCGGATCTTGCAGCAGCTGTGGTTTGAGCTTGGAGGCCTTGGTGTTTCGGGCCGGGGCTTGGCGTACGATTGCGGGTAGCAAGGGTTTACAGAACTACCTGGAGCGCGCCGAGTGTACGAGTACTGCTATTCATAATTACATCTAGCTTCAGGGGCATTGTTGGAGATGTTGCGATGTTGATCGGCGTGAGCGGCAGAAGGAACATCTCGGTGTGGAGGGCCCGTGCGCTGGGCTGTGGCCGCCATCATCTGCAGGCATGATTCTCCCGTTATTCATACCTTCACGTACTTGCAATGCTTCCTTCGAATCGTTTTTAAAGCTTCTGGACCTATCTATAGCAAAAGAGAAAAGATAGAGACATCTTGTCTCTGCAGTAGTCATGATAACCAAAATTTGTAAGAAGCCTGGGTACAAACAAACATCAGGACTTCATATTCCCCATAATCGATGCGCTGTTATGTGAGCAAAAGGAATTAAATTGACAACTTCATCGAATACTAAGGGAGGCAAAAAGAAGATCACTAAATGCCACCTGGCCGAATCGCTACAACACTGTTAGTAGTGGAATTTGAACCAAGCGCGGTTCAACTTACAACGACCGATCTTCGCATATCGTAGCATGTACAAGTGCGACGCTTTACCACTTAGCCAAGGAGGCGATTGTTGATGACTAATAATAATTAAATGGTACATACCGACACGTCAAATGTGGGCAAGAGTACATTGACGTGGTAAGCGAGGTTGTGGGGCGGCAGCGGCGACGATGTCTAGGAGTGAAACTGGGGACTATCCGACTGACACGATCAGGGTCATACAGAGAGAGAAATGCAAGTAATGTGTGACTTTGATGTTGTTATCTGATGGATAATCTCTTAACCAAAATTGCTATACAAAATACCTAAACTTCCAAATGCTAAAGAAAAGGGTAGCTGTGATGCTAGAAATAGCTTCCCAATCGTCCTCCAAACGCCACGCTTATGCTCATGCAAATGCCTCGCTTCATAAATCGTCAATCTCGAAAATAGCAGGAGGAGCCTAGGCAAGGCCGAAAACACCCCTCAAGCGTCTCCAGAGCTCCTTGCCCATGGCCTTTCGGGTATCCTCAGTACGGAGCGCAGCCTCCTTGTTCTCACTTGCCCTCCTGAGCAGGAAGTTGAGACATTCGGTTGTGGTACCCCAAGTCATGCACTTGACGACCTTGGCCTGGGTGTCTGCCTTCATGGTCTCGTCTTGGACTAGAGCCTGTGAGATCTCGTCGGCCATACCCTGGAGTTGGGCGTAGGTAAGACGAGGTAGGTTCTCCGGGGATGTGGAGAGCATTTGTTGGGCGCGGATCTTCTGGGCGGCTTGGACTGAGGCGAGGTTGTGGGTTGCGAGGACAATGTTGACCTTGGGGAAGGGAGTGCCTGGTGTGGGGGCGGGGACCTTGTCAGTCCATTGTTGGCGGACTACGGCATCAGCGAGGGCATCGTAGTTGGCGTCGGTGCCGGCTTTGGTGTCAAAGGTGAGATGCTTGGGCTCGGATGTGAGGTAGGCGCCGCGTACAAGCTTGACACCAGCGATGTAGCCTCCCTTTGAGGCGCGCTCAAGGTGCTCGGCAAGGCGCTTCGAGATGTCGCGCAGGTAGCACTGGTATGTGATGTAGAGTACCGCGCGACCGTTCTCGGGCTTGTTGTACTTCTCCTGCAGGGCTAGTGTCCACTTCTCGAGTCCACGGTTGGTTGCCTCTTCTTCGGCACCAGGGAGGAGGCTGACACCCTTTGCGGCGGCGGCATCGCAAGCTGCCGTGATGGCATCCCACATCTCAGGGGTGGCATCTTGCTGATTCTGGAGGAGGTTGAGGGCATGGCGACCGAGACCGGACCATCTACATGGTGGTTAGTAGGTGCTTGTGTCTAAGCCATCGAGTCAAGGCTTACTTCAGTCCAACAAAGTCACCCTCCTTCGCCATATCAACGCTCTGCAACATTCCCTTCCTCCACACCTCAATCTCCATCTTGGTCTCTTCGGCAGTCGGTGCCTTTCCGCCTAGAACCTCGAGCGCGTACTCAAACAGGATACCGCCGTATCCAAGCGTGCGTGCAAATTCGGTGTTCCTAACGACCTCATCTTTCTTCTCGCCAACGCAGTACTGCGCATAGAAAGTCTTCTTGAGTAGGTTGGACAGCACCGGGTTTCGCTCGATGCTCAGGAGGAAAGACTTCGAGTCTAGCATGCGCCGTAAGATGCCGAAGCAAGCATTGAGCAGCAGAGGCCGGGATGACACGGCTGTGATGAGGTAGGATCGGAGAACGGTCTCTGTTGGTAGGCGTCCGAGGACTGCTTTTGTCTGCGCTATTTGCGACTCTGGCTGTGTTGACAGGAGTTGTGAGGTCGAGACTTGTGATGAGGCGGGGATAGACACATTCTGTCGTGCGCTCTGGGAGACGTAGCGCGGCGTCTGTGCAAGGGTTCGGGATGTGTGTGCGAGTGCGAGGCTCTGGAAGCGGTGGAGGTTCTGTCTCCGGATCATCATGTTGAAATGTGGGTGTAGTCTAGCGCTCAAGTGGTTGTGTGAAAGGTGGTGTAGTTTGCACTTCGAGTTGGTGAATCGGTACGGGTTATAGATTTTCGGTGTATGCAAACTTGAGAGGGCGAGCAATTCTGGAGGTCTTGTGACTTGCTTTTCATTGTGGTGAAGGCCATATATACCATGGTTGGTACTCTTGGTGCTCCACGATATCGCACGCGATGCTCGGCTTGCGTCGGATGCGGTCATGTCGCACTAGTGCAGCTTCATTGTTGCTCCAGATGGTGCCAGACTGACGCAGACGCCGGCTTATCGCCCGCGCTAGACGGACCGATGATTGGACAATGCCGCAACGCGTTCCTGTGGAGTAAACGACATGTCTGGCATTCATGGCGACGCGATGGTGTTGAGGTTTGTTGCTGGATGTGATGTAATGACCGTTGTAGAGTTTGTGAGAAACTCATCGTGCCTGCTTCCCGTGTAAGCCGGTGACGTAGCATCATCAACTTCCAGTTTGCGATCCCTTGCTTTTGCCATGGCTTTGACCTCCAAGCTGCCATCGTGACCTTCGCAATGCCTGTTACCCCACAGTCGGCGAAATGCACAACCAGCCGCTCCTCACATTAGCGTCATCTTGCCAGCACAGCTCCGTTCGCGATCTGTGTTGGGTTTGCCGCCCAC